CACAGTGATCACTCTGCACCAGTAACCCCCCCTGGGAGACGCACAGTGATCATTCTGCACCAGTAACCCCACCTGGGAGACGCACAGCGATCATTCTGCACCAGTAACCCCACCTGGGAGACGCACAGCGATCATTCTGCAGCAGCAACCCCACCTGGGAGACGCACAGCGATCGTTCTGCACCAGCAGCCCCACCTGGGAGATGCACAGCGATCGTTCCGCACCAGTAACCCCACCTGGGAGACGCACAGTGATCATTCTGCACCAGTAACCCCACCTGGGAGACGCAAAATGATCATTATGCACCAGTAGCCCCACCTGGGAGACGCACAGCGATCATTCTGCACCAGCAACCTCACCAGGGAGACGCACAGCGATCATTCTGCACCAGTAACCCCACCGGGGAGACGCACAGCGATCGTTCTGCACCAGCAACCCCACCTGGGAGACGCACAGCGATCGTTCCGCACCAGTAACCCCACCTGGGAGACGCACAGCGATCATTCTGCACCACTAACCTCACCTGGGAGACGCACAGTGATCATTCTGCACCACTAACCCCCCCTGGGAGACGCACAGTGATCATTCTGCACCAGCAGCCCACCTGGGAGACACACAGAGATCATTCTGCACCAGTAACCCCACCTGGGAGACGCACAGAGATCATTCTGCACCAGCAAAAAGGGGGCTTTGCAACGGCTCCGTTTCAACCAAAAAATCATCGCCCCCCCTCCGAATTTCAGCCGCCCCCCCCCACAGATTTTCCCCTCTGGCGCCGGCCCTGCTGAAGGAACCAACATGCTTAACGCACATTGTTTAGTTCCAAAAGACAACGGGTCTTCTAATGTCAGGTCTTACAACAGTCCTGTCAAACAGGAGATGAGGACGGATCTTATGTCACTGCAGCACAGGGAAGGGTCTGTGCTGCTTCATCTTCTGCGTCTCCAACGGCACCAGCAGTGTGCGTCTCTCCTCTTCCTGACTCTCTCCTCTCCCATCTCTCTATCATCACCAGCAGTGTGGGTCTCTCCTTTCCCAGACTCTCTCTTCTCCGACTGTGCCTCCTGCTCTCCCGTTTCTCCATCATCACCAGCAGTGTGTGTCTCTCCTCTCCCAGACTCTCTCCTCTCCGACTGTGCCTCCTGCTCTCCCGTCTCTCCATCATCACCAGCAGTGTGCACCTCTACCCTCTCCTCTCTGACTGTGCCTCCTCCTCTCCCATCTCTCCATCATCACCAGCAGTCTGCACCTCTACCCTCTCCTCTCTGACTGTGCCTCCTCCTCTCCCATCTCTCCATCATCACCAGCAGTGTGCACCTCTGCTCCCCCAGACTCTCTCCTCTCTGACTGTGCCTCCTCCTCTCC